TCTTCTTCTTCTTCTTCTTCTTCTTCTTCTTCTTCTTCTTCTGACTAGCTCAATGCGTTCACCAACGCTTTGTTTACTTCGCATAACCGCTTACTTATCTCGTAACAGTAGGCGTGTTTTGTTTTACTACTTTGGTGTCGACTGCTTAATTCATCGCAAACTTTCGACAGTATAGATCCACATATTACATTCCACCCCCCACGGAAATATTATGTAACAGAAATTTACAGGAATAAACAGAACCCAAACATATTTCCCTATCATTGTATAGTAAGGTTTTCTATCGCATTATCTACGCATAATATATTATAAAAAATATTAACAGTCTTCTAAACATTACTTCACTACTACGGTTTGTAAAGAGGGATTTTCCAGGAAGTAAGGTACCCGCTGTCTGGTTGAAAAATGAGATTCGAATTTTCGGATCCCATTAGGGTTCGAAAACGTTGACTTATGTTGGATTCTTTTCGCGTCCGATTATTTGACCCTCGAATTCTATCCGAGTTCGAATCGTCGCAAGTTGTTGTTTTTTTATTTTCAATTATCGCGCGCCTCTTCTTTGCATATATAAGCTTATTGTAATAATTGTATCTACTCATTCTCATTTTTGTATGCAACATATTTTAAATATTCTGCTCCGCACCCTTTTATGTCCCTAGGTGCTAGCACAAAAGCCCGGAGCGCATGGCGTTTGGAGACAGTTTATTTTTACCGTGGCAATTGCCTATGCCAAAACCGAATAAAGACATTCTGACACTAACTTCGTACTGCACTGGTCTAGCCGTTTCTGACGATTTTGTCGTATCTATAGTCTCTATTAAAGAGACTGGATAAATGCTCAAGCCCTCCCCCGGTTGCGCGAAGGCCCACGCTTAGTCCTTTGTGGTTTTTTCTGCTAAACACGTTATCTTTTGCTAATGCCATTGCTTTTTCTTTCTTTTCTTTAGATTCCTGGTTCATGTCTTTCCGTCAGCGCCATATGAGGCGCCTAGTTGCTGTAAGTTCACATCTCTACGCCAGTTAACATGGTTGGCTGTGCTGGCATAAAACATACATTCATAGTTAACCCAGGAGTGTGCTCACACCCGAGGTTATTGCCAATTTTATAGCTCTATCAGCACTTTACAAGGAGTCAGATTCCGCCTCACATTGAACAGTCTTCCCTGCCAGTTATCGATTTTTCAGGGGGTGGGAGGTTCTTCTTCTGTTCCATATTCTGTGTCCCCTTTTCACTGTCCAACACAGCTCTATCGTCAGTAACTCTGCAAGCCACGCATCTTTGCCCTTTATATTTATTTCCGGGTTGAGACCAGCCCCTTACCCTACGCTAAATAGATAGGTAACACTTCAAGTGATGAGACTGCAGCATCAAGCATCCACAGGCCACCGACGCCGTCACGAGGCGTCGACACCTTGCGTCCTCACACCTCCTAACAAAACTCGAGACGAGGACCACGGGACGACATTAATTAATTGTCGGACACCTTCCTTTTCCCCTCCTCCCCCCACCCCCATTTCTCTGGTCCCCAATTAAGACTAGAATCTGATCCCTTGGACCCCTTTACACCTCTCTCCCCCCTCTTCCCCCTTGTTACTACTGGTTGGTTTGCCTAAAACTTTCGTTAACTCTACCCTCCCTTATATTACTGTATTGCCTAATGATGAATTAATCGAAAACGTCAAGGAATTGTTAAGATCGGTCGCGGTGATTACTGCGACTTGAAGTCACAACTTACCGCCTGCCATACACTTGCCTATCTACCATTCATACCTTACATGACAGCCTAGCCAGCTTTGGATTTGGATTTCAAAATAATTATTCACTTACAAAATCGCCGCCTCTCCTGTCTTTCGTGCTTCCTTATCAATCCATCGGTCGGATCAAAATCCAACTGATGTTTACAAACACTTTTTTTTCAGGATGTTATGAAAAATATTGCTGCCTTGAATACGTTCCAGTCTGTAAATAGCAGGAGATAGTGTCCAGTCGCCTCATCCACCCACTCTTCCTCGGCCCTCTTTCTTCTCCTCCTTTGGTCACTTTCCCTCTCCCCCATCCTTCTCCTTCTCCCCTCTTTCCCTTTCTTGTCCTCAGCACACCCTCCCCGGTTGCTTTTAAGGCCTACCTCCCGCATGCATCTTTTCTCCTCCTTTTAGAACTTAAATAACATGGTCGCAAGTCACATATCCTCTGAACAGAACGACCCGGCTTTGGTAAGTCTTTTCTTGCCGTACCAAACGATCTCTTACAGTGTAATCTTATGACTAGTTAAAACCCTCGTCATGTCCATTTTCTTCAACCACCTTTCACCTGCCTTGAATCTACTCTGCATGTTGGAAAGATAAGGTGTGGTAACAGAAATGGATGTTTGTTTCAGCCTAAACAATTCCACACTCAAGTCATTGCTGTCACGGTGTCCTCATAGTGTACGCGAGATTCTCTACCAGTGTGACCGGTTCGTTGGGTTTATCTCTGCCTGGTGATAGTTCGACCATCGATTTCGATGATGTCCACCATATGCCCAGGAACAGGGATGGTGACTGGCGACAGGGATGAGATTTAATTGAAATAGACGCACAACTGCCTGCCCTTACCCATTTCAACCAGTTACAAAACAAAGTCAAGATGACCGAACGGTCTCCGGCGTAGGCCGCTTTCTCCAATGCAGGCCAGAACACCGCCTGACTTATTGTTAAATGACAGTAGCCTTTTGCGCTGGTACTACTGTACTATCTACCCTCACTCACCT